GTTTGCATCAATGGTGGCGATGATGCCGTTCCCTGGCCGTGGCTTACTACAGTTTTGGATGCATTTGCCTTTGCTCTTAATACTACTACTAGGCCTACTAGGTAGCTTCTAATCCTGTGTCTAGCTCTTCCATAAGGTGTCACGCCTTTGCTTTATCTTTGCTCTTCAAAAGCTGAGCCCTAGCACCCTAGCTATAGGCTCTAGCTTGTACAACTAATTACTTTGCTCTTCATTTGGTCTGAACTCTGAATAGTTGCTATACTCTTGCTATGCTAGAGAGAGAAAGAGAGAGACAGAGATATAGAGGTTTTTTTTAGCGGGTAGAAGGGAGAGTGTTAGAAGGGATAGAAAGGGATTGGTGAAATTGTTGAGAGGATTTAATGTTGAGATATTTCTTCCAGTCATCATATGCTCCAGGATCAAATGATGAGATGATTGGGAGACAAATATAGTTGTGCTCCCCTCTCTCTTCGTAGATTCGTGTTTTGATTGTTTCTAACTCTGAGCTTTCATACCATCGGTGTCACATTGCATAGTAATCTATTCTCTTCATTCGACACTGTTTTTTTCCAACACTTTTATTATGATTTTCTCAAATTATATCTAGATTTTGTTCTGGAATTGGTTTAGCATCAGGTATCGTATACTATCATTCGGAGTTAATTGTTCTGCACGTACCTCATCTATATGTTGCATGCCCTCTCCTCCCCTTGCTCTCCAATTACCCTCAGTGGTAAACATAGCAACAAAATCAACGATCTAATCTACCCGTAAGGAATCTAATTAATCTTGATACAGTTTTGATAAGACAAAAGGTAAATGCTTACACAGAGTTATCTTGCTTGAGTCGCCTCTTCTGTTAGTTAACTACATATATTTCTATGTCGTACCGGTTTCATGTTTAGCATTCTTTACCATCTTCGAAGATGGTCATTTTGCATTTGTTTGCCTTTGAGCATAGAATGTCCTTATAGAGAAGCAACTTCTATTTTGGAACTTGGAAGAGGGAAAACCTTTGTTAACTTCTGCCTTTCAAGAGATAACAGTGAAACACATTATGTGTCACGTACTAACATAATTGCACCTCATTTATGTAGTACGACACAGCATTTAGGGGAACTCAGAAGCTTAGTACTCCCTCCAAAAGCCGAAATAATGAGTGCACTTACTTGATTTTCTGTTTTGCACTCTAGTAATGGTATATTGCTTAATTACAAACGGTAGGCCTAAACCTGCTTGTGCTTGTAATGCCAGCTATATTATATTTTTTTTGACTTGATTAAGTTCTCCTATAAATTTTAAAAATAGTGTATATATTTGTATATTTTAAGGTGTTTTATAAATGGTTATTGCTGTAGCATCTGCCCGCAGACCGTTGGTTTTAATTTCCGTAAAAGTTCCTGTTCTATGTTTACTTTGTTTAAAATTTCCTGAATGTGATGATCCTCTATTCCTAAATAGTTCCAACTCACTACATTTTTTTCTAGCCATGCAGCTATGCCACGTCAACAAGTCTTGCATATTAGTGATAAATTGCATCTTTTGAATTAATGTATCCATGCAACCATGCCACATCACCAGGTCATGCATGTGGATCAAAAGTTACCACATTGTTTTTATTTTTTATTTTTTTGTGTTATAATGCACGGTATATGTGTTTGACGCGTGGAGCATATCTATGTAGTTCATGCTTTGCATTTTTGTTGAAACTAGCAATGTGCCCGTGCGTTGCAACAGATTCAAAGTAGAATAATACATGTTCACAAACTTAAAGAAAAACACTCTAGTTTTGGTGTATATATATCACTAAAAATATACTCGTATTATGTTTCACTCAAAATATATTCCTCATGGTTGTTTTGATAAGGTGAGAGAGAGAGAGATGTGGTTGGTTTCAACTTTCAAGATACTACGGGGTTTCTGCAAATTGGAGCAGAGAAGTGGGGTCTTGTTGCAAAAATATCACAGTTTACCTCACAGCCTTTAGATGCAGATCTGATGGTAAGAATTGACGGATGGCAGACAAACCATCATCACCAACTGAGTCTTTTATAGGAGTAGAGAAATGGCATTTCAATAACTTAAGTCCAAAAGTTTTTCTCTTTTTATACACCATTTTGTTACACACTTCATATGATTTATTGTTTTTAAATATAAATCATGAACACTCGATCCTACATTTGCTTGTGCCTTAGTTATATACCACCAAATTATACATTTCCATTAACATGTTTCCCCGCAACAACGTGTAGGGTATGATCTTGTTTTAATAAATGATCAGGTTGCACAAATGAAATTTATGTATTGCCTGCCCTCTGCAATTATTTTAGATGAAACGTTGATTGACTGTCAATTGCTTGTTGTTTCAGAAGTTTCCTCGAGATAATTAAATACTTTTAGCAGCCCCTTCATTTTCATCCTAACAACTTTTCACTTATTATCCTTATGTTGGAAGTTCAATTTCAAATTCATGGGATGTGGTTTCTTGCCCATAGGACTTTCCCTAGAGTAACATTGTTCATATTTTTATCCAGTATACAAATACGTCTTGTGAAATGAAGATATCATTGCTGGTTTTGCATTTCTACTTTTTTTAACTTAAAAGAATACAAGATGGAATGCTTACAAAGTAAATTAGTAGTTTAATGAAATTAAGTTTATCTTTATATAAGTTTGTTGAGAATACAGGATCATTTAAGTCTTGTTCTTTGTTATTGGGATAGGTAACTTGCTTTTATACCGGTATTGTTCGCTTGTTGATTTTACTTCAAATAAACTCGTTGAATGGCTACCAATTTTTACAAAAATTAAAATCAATGTAGCATTTTATTTACCAATAAAGCATTTAGTTTTATGCTTCGACGGTTTGGCGGCATATAAGCTTAATTAACTCATCCATTAATTAACTTTTTTTGCACAAAAGCACTTTTTTGCGGAATCCATTAATTACTTCATAACATGGTAGTAAGGCGGGTGTGGGGCACATGAAAATCAATTCTGCCTCATTTCTTTGCTTCTTCATTTCACATGGAGATAATTCTGCTTGGATGGGAGCTAGACAAGACGCCTGACCTAAGGCAGATCTAGAATATCACGGGTACTGTACTACCTAACCCTTTTGGTACTGTTAAGTCGATCGTCAACTTTACTGAACTTGAGAGAAAAGAAAGAAGAATAGAAAGTTTGGAATATTGCCAACACCTGATATATATTGACTTGCTACCACTTGCCCGTTCAAAATGTGCCAATCTCTCGGTAGCCATATGTAGCTTGAATTATCAGCTGCTAGCAAAACCAGAATAAAGCTTGCACATGAGCTTCAGATACTCTACTATTTTAATTAGGTTGAATTTCTTTGTTGGAGCTGGGCAAAAAGCTAATTGATGGGATTTCATATGGTGCCATTTACATCAAGAATCTTCTAGAAGGCACGAACTCAACAGGAAATACATGAACTGTCGCAGGAAGAATTATGTTTAAAAATAAGTGTCGTGGTTTTAGCTCAAATTAACTAACATCACGACACTTGTTTTGAAACTGAGGGGTACTATAGTTCCTGTGTTTGTTACGAAGGAAACGTGCTATTGATCCATCCTTTTCCAGACATAAACCTGCCGGGAGCCGGACCACAATCGTCGTCGGCCGGTGCCGGTGCATATATGTATATTGTACTGGTCACGCAACAGCTAGCAAAGATGCATGGATGATCTGGATCAACCTCATCTCTTTGGCATGTGTTCCTTTCAATCAAAAGGCATGAGAGAGGGAATAATCACTGACTTTCGGACTACTACGAGAGAAGTGTCATGCGTACGTTTCTGATTCTGGCTCATGCATTCCCGTGCCGTGTGTACGTACCCAAGTCAATGCTGCAAAGATATTGCTCCTCTTAATTTATGCCCTTGTTCTTATTTTTTATTTTTTTTATTACGGGTAGGTTTGCCAAAATAGGAGCCATGATAAGACCTGCAATGTCAGTTAGTTATGTACTAGTCCTTCCGTTCCATAATATAAGAGCGTTTTTAACGTTAAAAACTATTGAATTCATGCTTTAGCCAACTCATTTAAAAGTCTGAATTGATGGAGAAAGATGGACAATATATTTAAACAATAACACTCTTATAATATAGGAAGGAGAAGTAGTACATTATTGGCAAATTAATACCGACATTCCCCTTGCATCGTATCGTATCTGAATATGGGCTCATGATATATAATAAGGGTAACCAAACAAAAGCGATTTCAGATTTTTGTTCGCACTGGTTATTATTTTTCTCCCGAAAGATTCCACAGGGCCACAAACCACAATTAACCTAGTATATACTTTTATCTAAAATATTGTACTAACAGATTTCCTACGTATACAATACACGGAGAAAGCATGCACTACTTTGCGGATTTTTTTTTTTTTTGCGGGTAAGCATCTAGCATTATAGCCGCCGAATCACCCTTACGTACATTTGTAAACGGTAATGCACTAGCTTTCGATCTGTGAGTGCAACCAAAAAGTCCTGGTCGTGAATCGTATCAACATGAAAGCTGTTGAATACATTATGTATGTGTATATTGTGTCTTGGGCTCACCTTCTAGTTTTTTCTGTATAATTAAGGTTGTAGTCTCGTCATGTACACCATATATATATATGTTTGGTGCACCGATCAATGTAATTGTGTTGCATAGTCTATTCTAGTCTTCTACATGGTATCTATCGCACGTCGTTCCCAGACATAGCCGCCGCCGCCTGCCGCCGCCGCTGCCGGTTCCTCCGGTCGCCACTGCTGCTGCTGGTCGGCGCCGCCCTCCTACCCGACGCTGCCGCCACCCGCCGCCGTCGCGACTTCCTCCTAGCCGCCGCCGCCGGTCGCCGCCGCACCCCTCAGCTTCCACGCCCCTCTCCCACCCGCGCCGCTCCTCCCTCTCCCACCCGCGTCACACCTTCCTCTTCAACCCGTGCTGAACCCTGACCCTAGCCGCCCCACCCGCGCCGTACCTTCCCACTTCCTCCTCGATGCATCATGAGTTCCTTCTCCTTCACCGTCTCCAACCCCTTCGCCGGTTTCGATGTCACCTTCGTCCGTGATCTCAACATCCACGAGCGTGTTCCTGTGGTGCATGATCAATCCACCGCGTCCTACTCCGCTTGAAAGCGGTACTTCTCCTTGGCGTTTCGCGAGTACCTGCTCCACGGCCACGTCGATGGCACCATGGACTTGAGCCTCATGATTCACGACGGCGAGTGGATGATCCTCGACGCCACCATCATCCACTGGTTCTACCTCACCATCTCCAAGGACCTCCTCCACACGGTGGTGGATGATGACCACGACGCCTCCGCCGTCTGGACCAAGCTCAACGGCCTCTCCACCGACAACAAACTGCAGCGCAAGCTCCTCCTCCATGGCGAGTTTTATGGGTGCCAGCAGCTTGACCCGTCCATCGACGATCTTTGCATGCGCCTAAAAAATCTTGTCGATGAACTCCATGATCTCGGCGAGACGGTTGACGACGAGCTCCTCATCAGCACCCTCACTGCCGGTCTCAACAAGGACTTTGGGAACGCTGCCTTCAACCTCACCCTCATCCCGGAGCCCACCTTTGCCAAGGTGGTGGCGTATCTCAAGTTGGAGGAGCGACAGATGAAGATGGCCCGGACTCGGGCGACCCACACCGCCCTTGTTGCCGGTACCCGAGTGGGCTCGGCGCCACCTCCGCCGCGTCCCGCGCCAGTGCCACTGGCCGCGACGGTCGCCTCATTCCCGCCATCCTCGGCCGCAGCTAACGGGGGTCGCTGCGGTGGCCGCAAGCAATAGCTGGGCGCCGGAGCTCACGGAGGAGCCGCCCGCCCCCAGCAGTCGTATCAGCCGGCCCCGTGGTACGCCGACCAGAACCCATGGACCGGCGTTGTGCACGCCTACTCCATGTCGGTTCCCCGCGCCCCTGCCCCGGGTATCCTCGGTGCGTGGCCTCCTTCTCATCAGGCGTTTTACGCCACGCCGCAGCCCTACGCGGCGCTCTACAGCCCACTCTCCTACGGACAGTCGTCGCAGCCCACTCTCCTACGAACAGCCATCGCAGCCTGCCCTCCCACCCACGCCGTGGGACCCGGCGCTCCTGGTGGCCCTAAACTCCGCACCTGTTCCATCCACCTACATCAGCGGCGGCGGCTGGTATAT